TTGTCATGCTCTCTAATTGAGTGCAGTCCTTAGAGAGTTTTGCAAAACATCCGCCTCTAGATTTGCACTCTTTAATGTTGCCTTAAACCAGGCTCTCCTCTCACACGGGATCTATTTCATTGCCCTCTAATTGGTCTCTCTGTCTTCTTAAGCTTCAACACAAAAATCTACTTGAGTAGTCTTTACAGAGCATTAGACAAAACATCTTACTTCCTTACTCTATAGCCTCTACTCCCCATTGCCAACAGGATATCCTAGAAATGTATTACTTCATGTGTACACAGTCTTCCTCTCTCTTGCCCCCTGGACTTTTTTTTAAACCCCATTTCTAGCTGCACATCATCTCCAGCCAAACGAGATAACTACTTGTATGCCTAGAACGTACCATGATGCTCCCCTTTCTCCTCCAGTTGTCTTTCTCTATAACGTTCTCTATTCACTCCCCTCCAAATTCTTTTTTTTCCCCTTCAATACCCTTCTCCAAAATCCTGTCTTCACTGAAGTCTTCTTTAATTCTTTTAGTCAGAGTCAGTTTCTTGCAACATTAAAATGATATAGCACCTTGCTTTTTTTTTTTTTTTCAATCAGGCTATTTATAACACTCAGTATAGCACAACTAGTTATAAGACAGAGTTAGAGTACAAGACACACTTTGATATTTAATCCTACAAATAGATTATTAATTCCTTGTGGGCAGTTAGTTGATAATCTCACACATATATTTAGTTGAGCACCATTTGTTTAGGTTTTGCTTAAACAAATGGTGTTCTCCTTGCAAGAATTAGCGCTAGCTCTGGTCTGTGTCAATGCAGCAGCCAGTCCTGAGTCAGCATATATGTGATTTAATTAAAAGGCTATAAAACATGGATTTGAAGCTATGATACATAAGCTAATTCTATTTTTTAATATTTTTCCCCCCTGGTTTCCTTGAACATTTATTGCAGAAGTTAGTAAAGATTTGTGTATATTTTTGGTCCCCTTCTTTGCTAGTTTTCTGGTAAAACTGTTACTTGGAAGGAAATAATCTTATTTTGTTTTGTTTGTAATCATTGTGAAAACGTTTCTCCTTACAATGGTAAATGGGTACATGTCGTCCACAGCATATGGTTTATATCATTCTAAATTTCTTCTTTCAGCATTAAAGTTCTTTTTTAAATTTTTTATTTTTTGAGACAGGGTCTTACTCTGTTGCCCAGACTGGAGTGCAGTGGTGCAATCTTGGCTCACTGCAGTCTCCGTCTCCCAGGCTCAAGGAATTCCCTTGCCTCAGGCTCCCGAGTAGCTAGGATTACAGGCGCGTGCCTCAACCGCCTGGCTAATTTTTGTATTTTTAGTAGAGGCAAGGTTTCAGCATGTTGGCCAGACTGGTCTTGAACTCCTGACCTCAAATGATCCACCCACCTCAGCCTCCCGAAGTGCTGGGATTACAGACGTGAGCCAATGTGCCCGATCCTACAACAAAGTTCTTACATTACTTGGCAGAAGATTACTAGTAGATACTTTTCTAGAGACTTCTTCATTGCCTTGGAGATTAACCCAAATGCCAAGGTACTGAACATTTGGGTGATTGTTTGAGAATAGGTCCTTCTTTTGGGAGTGACAACAAAATATGGTATAGCTTTTGGGGAGAAGTTACCTTTTGAGACCAAAGGCAGGGTAGAACCACCCAGGGATCAAGAACATAAACTCAGTCTTGTTTTCTCACTTACTAGGCAGTGACTTTGGGGAAATCCCCGATTTCCTCTGAACTACCACTGCCCCTTTTATGAAATTAGATGTTGTGAGGGTGAAATGAGCTGATGTGTATAAAGAATTAAAAGCACAGTACCTGTTACCTAGTAAATAATAAATGGCAGTGATTGTTATTGTAACATTTATAATAATAACAACAATCATAATGATTATCTTAGGAAAGTCAAGTGAAACTGACTGATTCTTGCCTTTGTTTTTGAGTTAGCCAAATGACCATACAGAAGTATTTGATCACATTAGAAATAATGAGCCCCCAAGCATACATTACTTTTTGAAATTATTGAAAAAGGAAAACTCTTTATTGATTATAGTTGATATTATTGCTAACTCTGCAAGATGATATGAGAATGTAGTTTTTTGATAGTATTAGTGGCTCATTAGGAAAATGCATGAAAATATCCTCCTTTGCAAGTTTTTGTCTCTGACAAATCAAATTAAAACAATACTAACAGGTAGGCAGGGAACATAGGGACCCACTCATTTGGAAATACTAGCTTTAAACTTAACTGGCTGAATGAACACCTCTGAGAATGAAACATTTTCATTGACTGTGTTATATATAACATCCCTCAGTTGGCCATGTTGATGTGTGGTATCCTTTGTGAGATCAGCAGTGACATTATCAACAAGACAGAAGCAGTGATAAGTCAATCAGTCACAACACTCATATCCTAGGGACCACCATGCTGCTATGAGTCAGGCATGTGCATTGTTTAAGGTAAATAGTAAATAGAACTAGGACTTTATTCTGTGTCTCCAGTTGTCAGAGGAACCCAGTTAACCTTGAGATAGCACGCTATCTGGCTGCTAGGGCTTCCATTGTTGTGTGATAGGCACCCATGTGAACATTTACAGCAGTACCTTGATTGGTGATAGTGAGCTATGACAACTGGGTACCTGCTAAGTTAGGGTTTTTACTATCCCAGCAACGTAGGATGTAAGGTTTTGCCTAGGGTTGACTGAATGATAAATGGTGGCCTCTCACCAGCATACACCAACTGTCCTTCATAATTTGGGAAAGAGAAGATGGTTGATATAGCAAAGGGATAGTAAAGAAGAGACCTCCAGCAGCAGAGTACACATATACCTGTGAATATTTTCCTGGTAAGAATCTTTACAGGTATTTTTTAGAGATAGGATCTTGTTCTGTCTCCCAAGTCTGGAGTGCAGTGGCACAATTGCAGTTCACTGCAAGCTCAAACTCCTGGGCTCTAATCCTGGGAAGAATCTTAATTAAGAAGACACATTTTAGAATTTAGGAGTTTGTCAGGAAGAATGAGATCAGAAGAAAAAAATTTAAAACATGTCACCACATATCAGTATATAACTTATAGTATCCTAAAATGAGTTTTCTATAGAATCATAGTTATCAACTACATTACAATTCTTTATTTAGGATAGTATGATAATAGATACAGTTTATTCAATGTGGACCCAAATATTTAACTGTATCATAATTTTGTTGAGATACTTTTTTTTAGTATCCTAAGTTAAAACTACCTTCATAATAAATTATCTTCTTGAGTTGGGAGGTATCAGTGGAATGTAAGGTGTGTTGTCCAGACAGGCCAGTGTTCCACCCCTACAAGGAAATAGGGTAGTGGCTTCCCTGTTTCCCTGCTTTTGTGAATGGAAAGTCTTAGGCAGGTCAAATTACTCAACTCTAGAAATTTTTTTAGTTGATCACACAGGGTTATCTTTTTATGTTTAACAGTAAAAGCGGACAAAAGGATTTTTGGTGGAATTTTCATTTTTGTGCAATCTTTTTAGTTTCTGAAAAAGTTAAAGAATAATTTTTAAGTCCTCAACAAAACTTTAGAAAATTCCATTATCAGTCCAGTGGTGGAAAACAAGTGAGAGGAAAGAAAGTTAAGAGCTAAGACAACGCAGAACTTGAGAAATATTTAGTGGAGCCCAGTGTGGGGTGGCTCATGTTTGTAATCCTAGCACTTTGGGAAGTCAAGGTAGGAGATTGCTTGAGGCTAGCTTGGGCAACATAACAAGACTTTATCTCTACAGAAAAAAAAAGAAAAAGAAAAAGAAAGAAAGAGAGAGAGAAAGAAAGAAAGAAAAGGAAAGAAAGGAGAGAAAGAAGGAAAAATCAGTCATGCATGGTGGCATGCACTTGGTAGTATGAGCTACTTGGGAGAATCACTGGCCTAGGAGTTTGATTTTACAGTTAGCTATGATTGAACCACTGCACTGTGGCCTGGATGACAGAGCCAGACACTGTCTCTACAAAATGAGAGAAAGAAAAAAATATAAGTACAGTGAACACAAATATACAGTGAGTGCTTGATCTGGAGGGTTTTCTCTTAAAATGTTGGTGTCCTGCAACTCTGGCTAGAAGAAAACTTTTCTTTTTGTTGTTAAGTTCCCCCAATGAAAGGAATTACAGCAGGTTAAATTGGTCAGTTTGTGAAAGCATTAAGGCGTTAATACCTCTGACTTCTTATCTATAAAGTCTACTCTTTTTTTTCTTTTTTTTTTTTTGGAGACAGAGTCTACCTCTGTCACCCAGGCTGGAGTGCAGTGGCGTGATCTCGGCTCACTGCAACCTCTGCCTCTTGGGTTCAGACCATTCTCCTGCCTCAGCCTCCTGAGTAGCTGGGATTACAGGCGCCCACCCCCACGGCCTCCTAAAGTGCTAGGATTATGAGCGTGAGCCACCATGCCCAGCTGACTCTTTCAATGATAGAAATATACCTGTGCTGGCTTTTGGCTGTAGTGAAAACTTCATTAGAAAGGGAGAAACTTGGGAAGGGAGTTGTACCACAATTTGAATTAAACACTTGCCAAATTACCTGAAGCAGGCTGATGTTTATTGTCCTGTTGAGTGACCCAAGACTTCTTTCTGCTGGTTCTCCTTGAGGAGAGGATTAGGTGTTGAACAAATTTACAAGTATAGCATGCAGTTTTGTCAAATACCCAGTGACACTTCTTTTCACAGTTCTCTTGACTTTATACTGTTTAAATATCCTCAGTTGTCTCTTAATTTGCTTTTCTTTCTTTAATTCCTATCGGATCAAAAAGTAACTTTTATGTAATCAATTCCCTTGTCTAGAATTTTTTGGCTGTTTCTTTTGAGTTGCAGTATGCACATTGGTTTGTTAGTAGTTTCCTTATTTTATGTTTTCTTCTCTAGTTTAACATGGTTTCATAATCTACACAGTGTCTTTTTCTTATTGGGATGGTTATGCGATAACTATCCCAATTAACTTCTTTTTGTTTTTTTTTTTTCTTTGTAGGCTAAGAAATGGCATTTCAAAAGGCAGTGAAAGGGACCATTCTTGTTGGAGGAGGTGCTCTTGCGACTGTTTTAGGACTTTCTCAGTTTGCTCATTACAGAAGGAAACAAGTAAGTAACTGTACTTGTGTTGATTACAGTATGCAACTTAAATCTGCTAAAGAACTGTCTATGGGGAGTGTGTGCACTAACGGTTTTGTTTAGAAAATACTTGTGAAGTTTCTCAGTTTGATCTAAAAGATACTAATTTAGAACAGTGCCTTAATGATCCTGGAGAACTGTGTGTATCTCCTTTTTTAAAAAGTGAATTTCTTTTTCAGGAAGCATTATTTAGCCTCTGTTTTGGCTCTTTGGTTTTTAAAAGACTGTTTCATTTATGAGTGCCAGGGTTTCTTCATTTAGACTTTCCTTGTCTAATTCATTGAAATGTCTAGATACCTTCTATGTTCCTGCCAAAAGTTTTTGTCTTATTAGAAGGCAGGCAGCTGAGAAAGGAAATGGAAAAGAAAAGGCCCAACTGAATCCTGGTTTTATTTCTTCAAGGTTTAGTTACTTATGAAGTATTACTTTGTATTAGGTAAAAATTTTAATGGAGGAAAGCCATGAAAATAAGGTTGGTAAGAAGTTTCCAAGTATTATAAAGTGTTCAGTTTCTTTTCTTTCTTTTTTTTTTTTTTTTTCCTTTACCTTACAACTGTGACTTCCCATAGTTCAAATTGATGCCAGGAAATAATTTTGCTGAATGGCTTTGTTCTTTTTTGAGGCTTGAAATGCTGGCAACCACCTTAGTAGTTAGTATCAGTCTCTTGTTCCCCCTCTCCTATGTCATTAGGACATTTTGTGATACTAGCTGTGTAGTGCATTTCTTTCTCAAAGATGAAGGTAAAGGAATTTGGTAAACAATTTGTAACCGAGTGATTCATTTTATACATTTTTGTGGCTGCCTTTAAGCCATGGTTTGTCTTATACTTCTTGTTTCTGTTTCTTTGTGCTACAAGGTGGCAGAGCCAGGCGCACTGCTTGCAATTCCATATCCTGAATGAAGATCACTTTAAAAACACATATTGTGGCCAGGTTCACTGGCGCAAACCTGAAATCCCAGCACTTTGGGAGGCCAGGGCAGGCAGATCCCTTGAGCCCAGAAGTTTGAGACCAGCCTGGACAATATAGTGAAACCCTGTCTTTACAAAAAAATACAAAAATTAGCCGGGCGTGATGGTGTACACCTGTAGTCCCAGCTACTCCGGAAGCTGAGGTGGGAGGATTGCTTGAGCCTGGAAGGTGGAGACTGTAGTGAGCTGAGATCATGCCACTGTACTTAAGCCTGGGTGACAACGTGAGACCCTGTCTCAATCAATCAATAAAATAAATAAATAAAAACATATTAAGAAGAATTAGTTTGCTGGCTTATCATTAAAAAACCCAACAAGCCAATTTTTATGTGATTCCTGCTAAAGATGGGTGATATTGAATAGTCTTTTGATTAGTAATAGTCTTTTGATTAGTGTTAGTCTTTCTTTTGCATTCTGAACTGTGAGGACATCACTCTCAATGCATGTATGTTGCAGTTTTTATTTTTTTAATTGACACATAATCATTATACATATTTATTGGGTGCATAGTGGAGTTTTGATACATACAATGGTGTTATTGATTCACTGACTTGGTATTGAAACTCTTCCTCATCCACTGATCATGTTCAATGTACTATTTCTTTTAAAAGATTGCCTTGGTTCCTTAAAAGCAGGTGTGAAAAGATGTGGCTTCTGCTGAGGCTATTTCAGAAGCGCACTTCTGTTTGTGACATGGGCATTAAGGGATTAGATTACTTCTGCCATCTTTACCAGTGCTATCTGAAACGATACTGAAAAATGCCAATGCCAAAGGTCACGAGATCTAATATGATGAGTTGTTGCTAAATTTATATGTGGTTTATATCTTTTAACCACAGTAAGCATGTTCTACTTCAGAGTTTATAGCTTAAATTTGTACCTAGGTAACACTGTTTCATTCCTTTTTTTGGTTTGAGTTCTCTCTAATAATTGATCTTAAAGAATAGAATAAACAGAAGAGACTCTGGCCCCAAGCATCAAGTTATAGAAGAATTTTATTCAGTAAAATCAAGGCAAAATAAAGACCTATTGATTCCTGGGACATGTTGTCATTTTATCTTTCCTAAGTTAGATATCCTGACCACCCTAATAGCCAAATGAAATGGATACCAGCAGCTTGAAGTCATTTATAATTTTAACCTGACAAGTTCTGTTGAAAAAAATTACTACAGGCATATGCAATCATTGAGTTGCATAAGAAATCCAACTATATGCATTTCTTTTCTGGTGATTCCTGTCCCTTTAAGATACTGCCATTAGCATGTATTTGGGGGGTAGCAGGTGCAATGTAGCCATAGGGACTGGCAAAAATAAAAAAATAAAAGCAAGAATGAGAAGAGGAAGCAACCTATTCCAGCCATTGACATAAAATGACCACAGGCCTCCATTAACTCAGCTGTCCTCTCTCAGAAAATATCTGCCAATCAGAGCCATTCTGGGGGGAGTTTTCGTGACTTCAGTAGTCAGAAAAAATCTGCCCTTTGAGATACATTAATTGGCTACATTTTTGTTTGTAGAAGCTGGGGCCTTAAATGTGACTAGGTATGCTCCATTTTTCTGCAGAGTGATGCTTAAAGTATTGGCTTGTTACAGGTATATTTACCTACTGTATGTTTATATTTTTTCTAGTTTTCTAAGAAGATTCCAAGTGACAAACTGCCTTTTATTAAGAATAAGTTGGTTTGGAAACCCCAAGTTCCTGATGTCCTAGAGAGCAGCCTGTTGACTTTGGTTCTGGCACATTTTGCTGTGTTCTTGCATGCTCTGTCTTCCTGGCCCCTGGCTTGTGCCCGTTTGGTACTCCCAGGACAAAGCTTCTTCCCTGAAATACAAGCAAGGGCTATATTCTAAATACAAATGGATTGAATATAAAAGTTGGTACATTGTTAAAACATGTTTGGTGATGAGATAGTGCTATGAGTGTTTAGGTGCCAGGTGAGCTCCTGAAAACCTTTGAGCCAATTCTATAGTTAAATTACCTTATATTTGTAAAGAAAACGATTGTATATTCTTTAAAAATTAATTAAACATAAGACAGATTGAAATTGAATAAGATGTGGTTTCACTTACCTTGAATGCAGTTGCTTGAATCAGAACCACTGTAGATGGAAGAATAGAGGCCTCTGTGGAGACTGGTGTTTCTGGGAGCAGGTTAGGGGTTAGAGGTGGTAGCAGTGATGCTTTTGTCTCAATTTACTGCATAGTATGGCTTTTCTTCCATACAAGCATATTATTAACATTGCTATTACTTATGTTTATCAGTGATGAATAGTGCCCACTGTTGAGCCAAGTGAACTCTAGAGGTTCATTATTTTTATTTTCTGAGGGAAACAGGTCAGATTTAGAAGAGATAGAGGAATGTGAGGGTTGTTATAGCCTAAGGAGAGGGCAATTATTATTATTATTATTCTTTTGGAACTGAGCAGCCTAAATCTTCAATTCCAACAAGGAAGTTGATGAGGAAAGGAGATGAAGGTTGGCTGACTTCTTTTGCTTGTGTCCACCTCCAGGGAAGGAGGTTTGTGGCCACAGACAACATCCACATTCCAGGCCTTTCTCAGTTAAGCATCTGAGGGCTTTTAGCGTGGTCTTAGAGTGGCTTCCTCTTCATTTTCTTGTCCCCTTTTCTTGATTTCCACCCATAAGCAGGTGACAATGTTGCCACAAAGGGAGCTTGAGTTTTCTTCTCCCCAGACCACCCGTATGCCAAGGAACAAGAGTCAGTAATGCGATATAAGCATTTTACCACTCAAAGAAACCAACCCCAACCCCACTGGGAATGGAGCAAGCAGACACCTCTCTGGTGGTATGGAGATTTTTTAGATCAAGTTGATTGTGATTCACTATTTAGTATAGGTTGGTTTAATAATAAACTTCTAGTTGAAATTTGGAGGTCATCTAGTCTAAGGTCTAGTGAAAGGAAGTAGCACTTCATAGAGGAATCTCCTTTTTCTAATTCCAGGCTGGTGGGAGAATGGAGTAGATGAAGAGGAAAATTTAAATTAGGAAAAGGGGTCATGGGATACTTTTAGAACAAGTAAACCTTCTTGAGCAACAGAAGTAGACAGCATTAAAGTCAGGGCTGCATGAGGAGTCCTCAGGAAGAAGGGAAGTTTGGGATGGGAGTGGCCAGGGAGAATGAAACAAGAATAGGGTGGGAAGGAGTGCAGGGATTTCACACAGGGCTACCCTAGTCTTTTTTCATTATAGTCCAACGGCACTGTTTAAAACTTTTTTTTTTAAGTTAACGTTTATTTCATACCTTCTAGGTCCTAACTGGAAAAATCTATGTGATGATGTGGGCTTTTCTTGAACCCCAGTGATGTGGTTGATATGACAAAAATCTATTCAGGTCGGAAGAGTGGTCTTGCTCACATAACACATTCTAGGTTTGTTCCTTCCATGACCTGGTCTGAAGGTGTGGTGGCTTTGTGAGCTGAGGCAAAACTTGAGAACCACTGAGAGCTTTCTCAAAGCCCGGATGTGAAAATTTTTTTCCCCCCTGCACCATAAATAGGCAAGGAGTGGGCCTCAGAATATGGAAATCAAGATCTCTCTCTCTCTCTGTTTTTTTTTTTCCCTGAGATGGAGTTTCACTCTTGTTGCCCAGGCTGAACTGCAGTGGCATGATCTCAGCTCATTGCAACCTCCGCCTCCTGGGTTCAAGTGATTCTCCTACCTCAGCCTCCCAAGTAACTGGGATTACAGGCACCCTGATTCTAAGAAGATCATTCCTCTCAAGGTCTCTTTTTAATGAGAGGAATGAGCTTCTTAGAATCAGGGAAGTGAGAAATTCTCATTGATTGGTGTGCCATTCATAAGCAACAGAACAAAAAGGCCAAGAGCGTGATCTTTGGAGCAGTCTCTGCAGACTGCCTGCATCTAACACCTAGCTGTACTTTTCTTTTTTGGGGTATGTTTCCTTACCTTTATTTATTTACTTATTTATCCCTTTATTTTTATTCGACATGTCATAATTGTGCATATTTATGGAATGCA